GCCAAGAAACATAATGTTTTCCGCCAGTGTGCATTGGGTTTCTTGGGTGTCGACGGCTTTGCGGTGGAAGGCTAGACGTTCTCGCATCAAAAAGCAATGTGCGCCCTGAGGTCCCAAGGTTGCGATCCTTGCGGAAGGTTTCTTGTGGTCGGGCTTCCACTGTGCAGTCGCACTCCCTCGTCCACGCGTCGACAATGATGTCGCATCGCCCTCCAATTACCCTCCTATCTTCCCCATCCTCCAACCCCCATCCCTCGCCCATCGTACCCTCGCCCCGCCCGCCCCCTCCCGTCGGCCCCACCCCCCGCCCCCTCCGCGCATCGTCCGCCACTGTTCGGATCGTGGGTCAAGAACCGCCTCGCCATCCTCGCCCGTCCTCCACCGCTTCGCGGGTGCGCAGCTGCGCCAATCGGCGCATGAAACAGCGCCGCGAGACGGCGCAGGCGACGCGCAAGAAAAGGCGCGTGGAGGAATGACGACCAGGGAGAGGGGGGGGAGGAGAAGGAGGAGGAGGATGAGAAGGAGGCGGAGGACGAGGAAGACGAGGAGGATGCGGATGAGACGGGGGGCGACGATGAGGAGAAGGTGAAGATACCGAGGAGCAGGTGGGATGAGGTGGTGGTGGTGACGATGCTGATGTTGCTGATGGTGATGATGGTGCTGCTGATGGTGGTGATGGTGATGGTGATGATGCTGATGATACTGATGCTGTTGGTGATGGCGAAACTGACAACGATGCGGATGATGATAAGGGCGATGATGAAACATCTTATGAGTATGCTGGCGGTGTTGGTGACGATGATGATGATGGTGATGATGATACTGATGCTGCTGATGCGAATGACGATGATGATGACGATGATGATGATGCGATGGTGACGATGACGATCGATGCGGATGATGATGATGATGATGATGCTGATGCTGACTGATGATGTTGCTGATGCTGATGATCGGGCACGGGTCGTCGGGCAGGACGCGTCCCCGAAGGCGGCGGCACGCGCCGACGCATTTTCACCACCCTCCTCCCCCCCCTCCTCCTCCTCCTCCCCCTCCTCATCGTCCTCCTCTTCTTCCTCCTCCTCATCCTCCTCCTCCCCCTCCCCCTTCGCCCCGCCCCCCCCCCCCCCCCCCCTCCTGCCCTCCTCCCCCATCCCCCCTCGTCCGCCCCATCATCCGCATCAGCGTCATCATCATCACCATCGCCATCAGTATCAGCATCATCGCCATCAGCATCATCATCAACATTATCACACTCACCATCGTCGACATCATCATCACCAGCATCAACAGCATCAATGACATCATCATCATCACCTTAATATCATCATCATCGCCGTCAGCATCATCATCAACATCATCACACTCACCATCGTCGACACCATCATCAGCATCATCATCAACATCATCAGGGACATCACCATCATCATCATCACCATCATCATCATCATCGTCATCGTCATCGTCGCCATCATTGTTATCATCCACGCCGTCAGCCGCCTCCTCCTCATCGTCATCTTCATGAGCATCATCATGCGTGCCAGTATGATCATGAGCATCATCACCGACACCATCATCATCAGTATCGCAATCATCCTCGTCGACATCACCAATATTATCATCCTCAGTATCGCCATCATCCTCGTCGACATCATCATCATCAGCATAATCATCATCATCGTCATCATCATCGTCATCATCGCCATCATCGCCATCATCATCCTCGTCGATATCGCCATCATCATCATCGTCGTCATCATCAGCATCATCGCCAACATCAGCATCGTCAGCATCATGAGCACAACCGGAATCATCATCATCCTCCTCATCAGTATCATCATCATCTTCACCGTCATCAGGATCGTCACCATCATGATCATCATCGTCAACTTCATCATCGCCGTCGTCATTATCAGCATCATCATCGTCATCAGCATCAGTATCTAAATCGTCATCCTCATCATCACCGTCGTAATCATCAGCATCACCACCAGCGTAATCATCATCGTCAATGTCATCACAATCAGGAAGGGCGGCCCGTCTGACGTTCGGTCGAACGTTCAGTCTGACGTTCGGTCTGACGTTCGATCTGACGTCAGGTCCGCCGTCGGTCTGACGTCGGTCTGACGTCCGGTCTGACATCAGGCCCGACACTGGTCTGACGTCAGGTCTGGCGTCATGTATGGTGTCGGTCTGACATCATCCTCATCATCATCGCCGTCGCCCGCGGCATCCCCATGATCAACGTCATGGCATGGGCATCACCATGGTGTCGGTATCACCGTGATAACCACTATTGTGTCATCCCCAACACCATTAGCATCAACATCATCGTCATCATCGTCGTTGTTGTCGTCGTAGTTGTAACCGTCATTGTCATCGGCATGACCATGACCGCCGTCATGACATCATAATCAGCATCATCAGATACATCAGCCTAGTCATCCTCCTCTCTTCCGCGTTTCACCATCTGGTTTCGCCACCGTGTTCACGTTGGTCTCGCCCGTTGCACCACTGTGTGTCAATTGATGTAGCCCCTGCATGTGTTAGTACATGTGCACGTGTACGCATTAGCACATCTTCATTCTCTGAAAATTCCGAAAGAAGGAATGCGAGACGAAACGGAAGGAACGCCCATGCAGCGACTGTAAAACAGGTTGAGGCAATGCTGTTCTGAGCGGTATTATAATATCGGATATCTCCATCACCTTCACCATCATCCTCAGCATCAGCACTTTCACCATCATCATCCTCATCATCATCACCATCACCTTCATACTCATCATCACCAAAACCATCATCATTATCATCATCGCCAATACCATCGCCAGCGTCACCGTCATAATTATCACTGCCATCATCACCCCATGCATGCCCATCACCATCAAAAAAAAACATCATCGTCGTCATCATCACCATCGTCATCATCGTCGTAATCGCCATCATCATCCTCGTCCGCATCCTCATCATACTTTTAGCATCATCAGCATCGCCAGACATGTCATACACATCACCATCGTTACTACCATTAGCATCATCACCATCATCGTCATCAGCATCACCATCACCATCGTCGCCAACAACCTCATCATTGTAATCGACGGTCGGTAACTCGGTAGCGGTCGGCAACGTCAGGTCTGACAAATTTAACTCGTCAGATTGAGGGCTCGGAAAAATCGGCAACGGCGTTACCGACCGTTACCGATTTTTTCGGTAACGGCGTTTTCGGTCGCGACCGCTCGTTACCGAATTTTTCGGTAGCGACGTCGTTACCGGTCTTTCCATTTCGCTACCGAAAAAATCGGTCGCGCATGATTTGGGAGGGAAATATCTTCTTTGTGAATGTCGATTTGTTCGTGATCTGTCGAAGCATGTCACGCTGAGCGTTGAGGACTTTCATGTCGATCTGCTTTTGGGCTTCCAGATATTTATTGCGAATAAATTCTTTCTCCTCCCGAAGTGTCAGCTCTGCGGGGAGATCGATGTTGATGCTGGTGTGCGTCCCCATCTCGGATCCAATCGGGACCTTTCGCATGTCCTGGCCCTCGGGAAACGATGAACCAGATTCCTTCTTACTGGATGACGCGGCCCTTGCCCCGCCTGATCGACAGGCCCGAGTTGCCAGCTCGGTCTTTCAGACACTCCACAAGCACTCGGGATCGTTGTCGAGCATGTGGGTCAGCCGCAAATCCCGAGAAGCAACGCCCTTACCATCTCGCCCGCTCTTCTCATACGTCAAATGGATGTTCGCCTCAGGCGCCCCCATCTCGAGCAAGCCTGTGCTCTGGATCAGCCTGGCGACCCGCGCCTCTACCCCCCCCAAGCGGGCATGGTGCGAGTGCCGCGTGCCACGCGTCGTGCGAGTGATGAAATGCATGTCCTGAAGGCCGAACTCAGCCGCAAAGAGCACAACGAACGCCCAGAAGCCCTCCTCGACAGCCGTGTACATCTCGCTGCCTTCAACCCGCTGATCGTCGTTCCGCTTGGACGCGACGTCGCCCACGTCGGTGGCCGCAGCAGGCGGGGCGGGCTGTGCAGCACCACCTGGTGCCGAGGCGGGCTGCGCAGCACCGCTGAAAGCCTCACTCCGCCAACCTCGGGACATGAGCGTGAGCGGCTGTGTGGCAGGGCCTCCGGGCTTGAGCCGAAATTGCTGCGGAAGGCGCTGTTTGCGGGGGCTCCGGTCCGGCCATCGAGGCTAGCTCGGCATCTGTCGCACATGGCTTTTGCTTTGCCTTTCCTTTGCTTTGCTTTTGCTTTTGCTTTGCTTTGTTTTGCTTTGTTTGTGCTTTGCTTCGCTGTTGCTGCTGCTGCTTTGCCTTTGCTTTGCTGCTATGCTTTGCTTTGCTATGCTAGGCTGCACTAAGCTATGCTATACTATGTTAGGCTATGTTGCGCGATGCTGCGCTATGTTATGCTACGCTAGGCTGCGCTAGGTTATGCTAGGCTATGGTATGCTATGATATGCTGCGCTATGCTGCGTTATGCTATGCTATGATATGCGGCTAAACTAAGCTAAACTAAGCTAGGATGAGATACGCATAGCTAAGGTAAGGGGGCGCAACTGGGGGAACCGCGGGGCGGGGACAGGGGGAACCGCCCGGGGCGGGGAACATTGCCCTGCCCCTCTAAGCTAAGAGAGTTAGAGTCCTCTAGGCAAAGCCTAGGTCGGGAACCATCTGCTTCTTTTGAAGGTTGGGCCTCTCGGCGGGGTTCTCGGATGCTTCAGAATGGCCTTCTCGTTGAGTCCAGGAGTCGTTTCGGGGACCTCTTGGCGGCATGTCGGGGCCTTCTTGGTCCAAGTCGCGCTCCCTGGTGCTATTTCGGATGCCGTCTGGGGCCATCCGGGACCACCCCGCAGCCTGGAGGGCCCAGGACGGGCGCTGCGGAGCTTGTCGCCCCTTCCCTCGCCCCCCCCAAGGCAGTATTCGAGCAAGGGGGGAGGGGACGGGCAACCATTTCACACGCCTTGTCGTTCCCAGCAAGGGGAGCTGGGCGGTTACCTTCTACCAACATCGTGTGGACCTCCGACTACTCGATCTCGACGACGGGCTGGGAGCTATGCCCTGTCCAGCCCTTCGTGTGTGGAGAGCTCGGGTCCGATGCTTGCCCCACTGGATACTACAAGGTCGCTTCAGCTGAGATTTGCGAGGAGTTCGTGGGCTCTGGTTTGACATGTGTTTCGGCCATGCCGTCCGCCTGGGGAGGCACTGGACTTTGGACGTTCGGCCCAAGTCGCTGTTTCCAAGAAGCCGATGGTCAGGTGTATTTCAACGACAACGGTGATACAAAATCAGATGCGTCTGTATTCCTCGTCTGTCAAATGTTAGAATGCGAGGGCGATCTGCGGCTATCTGGGAGCGAGCTATCGCATCCTGAGCCGATGGGCTTGTACACCAAGACAGCTTCGGCGACCGGAGACCGTCCAATATACAAGTCCGAGTCCGGCCAGTTCTACATCTTCTATGGGCAGGAGTTTGACGCATGGCGGATTGGCCACAGCTACTCCAGTACATGGGCACTATTTGCGTCGATGGATGGAGACTCGCCACCTTGCCCGAACCACGTGGCGGCGTGGTATGCGTTCAACGGAACTGTGTTTCAGCCCGTGCCCGACGTGACGCTGTTGGCGCAGGTGCCCGCGCCGATGCTTGTCCTTCCCGCATTCTGCGTCGACACAAGTGGCAATGCGACGTCGTGTCCCCTGCCCACTGTGTCCCTGGCCCAGGGTTTCTCCGGGACCCCGGGAGGCCCCAAGGACCTGGAGCAGATCCCTACGAGGCCTGGAGGGTCGAGGAGGAGGAGGAAGACGAGGAGGAGGAGGGGGAGGAGGAGGGGGAGGAGGAGCAGGAGGAGGAGAAGGAAGATGAATACATGGCGCGTAAATCTGGGGACGCCCTGGGCCAAGAACGCCTGTGCCCCCCCTTCCCTGGGTGGGCGCGCGTCTGGAGGTCTACCTCTGTGCGCTGCTACAATCTCTCCTGATCCCTGGCGGGGGATGAGGAGGAGGAGGAGGAGGAGGAGGAGGAAAAAGAAGAAGACGAAGAATAAGAAGAAGAAGAAAAGACAAATACAACTAATACTAGTATTTCTTTAGTACTCATATTAGCAATAATATTACTTCTTCTAGTAATAATAAGAAGAAGAACAATACTAATACGAATATTAGTCAGAGTATTAGAATTAGAAGAACACATAATAATAATATGAAGAATAATAAGAATGAAACTACGAATAGTAGTAATAATAATAACTATAGTACTCGTAATACTAAGAACATTAAGAATAGAAATGAACATAATACTAACAATACTAAGAAGCATAATAATAAGAATACTCAAGAACAATCGTAATACTAAGAATAAAAATGAGAAGACGAAGAAGAGGAGGAGGAGGAGGAGGAGGAGGAGGAGGCCAGTCGCAACATGCACAATCGTAAGTTACCCTCACCCTTCCTTTCCCCCCCACCGCCGCTGCTCTGACTGCAACTGGCTGCTCTCACCGCGCTCCCTGCCGTCGCGGCTGCGAGCGGCGTGGCCGCGCATGCCAGGCGGCGCTGCTCTGGCGTCGTACACCTGGTCGAAGTAGCGGGCTGGCGACCGGAAACCGGGGCACGACTCGCCTGCACTGGGGAGCGCCCTGGCGAGAGCATTGCGGCCCTTAGCCGCCTTCTCTCCTCCGCCACCCTTTCCCGCCCTGCCTCCCCCCAGCCTCTCTCTGAGCACCCCGACTCGGTGAGAAACTATCTACTCTCCTCTGCATCCCCTGCCTCGGCGCATCATCGCGATCCTCGCGCCAGCGCCGCGCGCGGCGGCCACTGGGCGCGGGAAGCGCAAACCGGAGAGAATCAGATCAAGGTTGGGGTCGTGGTGGATTGCGATTGTCTAGGCTTCCCAGATGGGGTCAGAGTAGATGGGGTCCGAGGATCGCGCCGCATCGCCGATGCATCGGCGATGCGGCTCGATGTGGAGCCCGATTTCCTCTACGCCGACGGCGCCGATACGTCGCCGACGTCGAAGATGCATTGCCGATGCATTGTCGATGCATCGGTGATGCGGTGCGATCCTCCGACACCATCTGCTCCGGTCCCATCTAGGATCTTGGGGCCGTCTTGGGGGCCTCTTGGGCCGTTATGGGGCAATTTTTACAGCCTCTTGGAATCTTGGGGCGATTTTTGGGGGCTCTTTGGCCGTCGGGAAGCCGAAAATAAGCACATGCCAAAATCCTTCGCTTTTGAAAGTGAATCAATGATTTTGGCCTCTGCGGGCTTCCCTGGATGACCTCTTTGAGGCCTCTCGGGCCGTCTTGCTGGCCTCCTGGGGGCCTCTTGTGCTGTCTTGAGCCCTCTTGAGGCGGTCTTGGGGCGTATTAGGTGCATCTTGGGCCGTCTTGGGTGTATCTTGGGGCCATATTGGGCTCTCTTGGGGCCATCTAGGCCGTCTCGGAGGCATCTTGGGCCCTCTTGGCCGTCTTAGGACCATCTTGGGCCGTCTTGGGAGGATTCTTTCTGGACGTTGAAGTGCCTCTGCGGCTTTCCGGGAGGCCGGCGGGATCGGTTGAAGCCCAGGGAGGAGTCTCAAAAAGAACCAGAAACAACCAGGGGGCGGCGGATCGAAGACGCCTACGGCGAATCACCGCCGCCCCCTGCTTTTTTGGACGCGCATGTGTGGCCGAAAGTTGGGCTCGAGCTTGGCCAAGCTATCGGACCATGTGTTCCCCTAGCCGTTGTGGAAGCTGGTAATGCCCGCAGTAAAGGTCATCTAAGCGAACTTCTGTCTGGGCCTTACTTGTTCACGCGATCGCACGCGTGCAACTTGATGACCAGCCAGATAGATTTGTTTTGGACCGAGATCCCAGTAGGGGTGGCGAGAGAGAAGTCACGCAAAACATCGCCCCAGAGGATGCTTGGACGCCCAGCCAGAACCGATTTTTCGACCATCGAGATCCCCAGATCGGAGAAAAATAATGCAAAAAAACGCCCGAGCGACTGAGCGACCTGGACGCCCAGCCAGAAACGATTTTCTGACGACGGAGATTCAAAGAGGGGTGGTCAGAGAAAGTTATTGCAACAGAGCGCCAGAAATAATGATATGCTCGGCCCAAGCCGATCCTTGTTCGACGCTCGAACTCCCCGGGGGGGGGCAGTCGAATCACGCAACGAATCGCCCGAGTTTCCTGGATTCCTGGATGCTCATCCAGAAACGATTTTTCGACGCCTTAGGTACCCAGAGGGGCGGCCCAGCCACGCATGATTTTCCAATGGCCGAGAGCGCGGGCGCACAGGCCCACGGGCCCCCAAGGGGCCCAGCCAGAAATGGTTCTCTCAATGGCCGAGTGCCTTGGACGGGGCGGTAGACGGGGAAAGGGAGGGAGCGCGCAGGCCGCGATTTCGCCGCCAGCCGTTTGGCTGCCATGCCCGTGGTGGCGTGGACGTATCTGCCGAGCCCAGCGGCCGCCCGGCGATGGCGGAGAGGCTGGACGGATCGGCAGAGAGACCGCCTGCACAAGATTTGCTGCGGCGGGCGGGGTGGGAGGGGTGGGGGGTTGCATGAGTGACAGGAACTGGCGGGCGTTGTCAAAAGTGCCCCTGGCCCGAAGTGCCCCCTGGACCTCCAGGCCCTGGGGGCCCCAAAATTGCGCGAACAGCTGGGGGCACCTCGGGCCAGGGGCACTTTTGTCAACCCTCGAAAAGGGTCTTGGGCGAGACGCCGCAGTCGGAACGTGCCTGGGCATGTTGAGATGGGAGGCGGGGGAGCTACACGGTGCCAAGATGAGGTGCGGCTGGCATGGGGAGGCCGAGATGTTCCTTCGCGCGGCCCCGACGGCCACGTGTGCACCGCGTTCTGGGACACATATTTCCGAAGTTGCCGGCACAAATTGGTGGGGCTTGGGTTATTTGACGCTGATTTTTTGCATCGCCCCGGTCGCGCGTGTTCAAAGTTCCGAGTCCTCACGGCTGAGCAGGACGAAGTATTAGAATGTCGGGGTTTGATAGCTCCAGGATCGAACTGATCGAACGGACAGGTTTGCTGTTCCATTGTGCGATCGAACGAGAGAGCTCGATCCGAACGGCGCCGGGCGCCACTCGGATCAAGCTCTCTCGTTCGACGATTTGCCGCGGCTGCTTTTCCGGGGCCCGCAGGAGAAACTTTGGCCTTCATGAAGGTCGTTGACTACATTATGTTGCCGGGCACCTTTCGCGCCGGCGACCGCCCAAGGACCCCCGCGCCGCCCCGTCGTGGGAGGGGGAGGGAAGGGGGATCACGACGAGGCGGAGTGGGGCCCTCTGAGTCGAGTGGGGGAAGATGTAGAGAGGAGCTTCTGAGAGATCCTGCATGGAGACGGCGACTCGGGATCGCTGAATAAAATAGACAGAACGAAGAAGTGTGGCACAGAACGTGTAGGAAGGAGAGGCGCGTCATCCTCCGCTTCGCCCCCCTCGTCGTCGCCCGCCTCGGCATTCCTCGTCCTTGTCGTCGTCGCCGTCTTCCCCAACCTTGCCTTGACCTTCTTCTGCAACCCCGCCCCCCATCTTCGCGTGCCCGGCCAACCGGTTCTTTTCTCTGCGCGCGCGCTGCCTCTGCCAAGCCGGCGCGCCCTCTCCGTCGTCCTTGTCGCTTCCGCCTCGCCCGCCCCCCGCCCACCTCCTTCTCGTCGCCCTACTCTGTCTTGATCCGCGGAGAGCAGCGGCCGCCCCCAATCGGACGTGAGATCCCCCAACCATTGAGCACAACCTTCAACCTTCGCCGTCCTCTTTTCGCGCGCCCTGGCCGTGCTTCCCGCGCCTGCCAGGGCTCTATGGTTCGTCGCGCCGCAGAACGTGGCCAACGATTGCGTGGCTACTTGGAGGTGGGCGGGGGCGGCGGCGCATTGGGCCCCCTGTCTTCCTCAGAGCCCGCTCCTCCTCCTACGGCCCCCCTCCCTTCCATTGCCCCGCCCCCGCCCCCCCCGCCCCCCGGGCTTCCGACGCTGCTTTTTTCTTGCCCCGCTCTACCTCGCCCTCCTCGCCCGACTCGCAGGCGATCGAAACAGGGGCGGAGGGCGGGGCTGAACATGGGTCAGGGGTGGCGGGGCGGGGCAGGGCGGTCTCGGACAAGCTCGCGGCCTGTGCCGAGACGTACGGTATCTCACGTGAAGTGCCAGATCTAGGCCTCCAGCTTCCTATTGTTGCTCACGGCGCGTTGCTGGGGAGAGCGGAAGGGGGCTGGCGCGCGCGTGCCTGGCCGCTGGAGGGCAGGAGCGCGAAGTTCTTCAATCCTAGAAGTCTCCGGGGGCGATTGGAAGCACTGTTGCCGCCAGGGTCCCGCATGCTTGAATTTAACGACAGGTCCCATCGTGCCCGAGCTAAGCGGAACAAGGAGCACGACCAGCCCGACCAGCCGTGCAGCTCGTCAATTCCATGGGATCCCGAAATGAACGAGGGCACGTTGAAACGAGTCGCCCAGGCTGTGTGCACAGCGGTTGGCCGCATCCCTGATCCAAATCCAGCCGAGCTAGAGGAGTGGGAAAATTGCGTGGGCTGGGCGCGCAGCATGTCCTCGAGCTTGAGCCCCGCATCAAACAAAGTTTTCCGAATCAGGCAATGGGGCTACGACTTTCAATTTTTATTGCGTGCGTTGTTGATGGCGTCCTCAA